TGTCGTAAAACATGATAAATTCACTTCTAAGTTATATATTTCAAAAATTCTAGTTGAGCCTCTGTACAGAAGCCTGAGCTACATACAGGCAAAATACTATTATAATAGAAGCATTTTTCACGAAAGAAAATATTTTGAAAATGGGTCATTCTATGTTAATTTTTTTGTCAAAATATTGTACTTAAATAATTTTTTATTGCAATACTATTCTTAAAAAAGTTTATATACATTTTCACAAATCTAAGTGACACGAAATATCATAAGTATTATCCATTTATAAGCTTTTGCTAATTCACGGTTCCTAACGTAGTCGGATACCTTAAAATAATTGTCAAATCGTTTTCTAAGGTTTTAACTAACACATAAAAAATAAAAAAAGTCACTTACCTTTTGACTCTTAACTTATTTTGCGCTACGAAAATGACAATTTTGACAATCCGATCAAAATGGTAGCCGAAAATGCAATTTCGGTCATAAAACTTTTAGTTTCCACGCCACGCAAAAATACTATTAAATTAAAAGAGTGTTTCTGCTAAGTACTGTTTGAATATTCGTAAAAATGATTGTTGTTGTGTGTTTTTATCTTGGGATACATATGAAATACAAGTGGAAGAACGGAAACATACAATACAAACGGAAGAATACAGACATTTGTTACAAATGATGATCCCAGCATGTAACAGAAGGGATGTGCTTCTTTCCATTAAAGACAAGAATCCATTACAGGCAAAAGTCCAAATTCTTTTCCCGAAGAAAATACATCCTTGACTTACTCGGGATTCAAATCTGAACGCACGCAATTACAAGCCGAGGGTCATATCCACTATAATAGCTAGGCGGCATAAAATGATTATTGTAATTGCCTTGGTGTCGAATCGACACTAGTGGTACATTTAGTTGCAAAAATCTCCTAATTAACCTAGATCCGCCAAACTTTTTCATGTGTTATCACCATGGAAAATGATTATAAGTCACAAAAAATTTTCCTGCGAAAATGCGGAAAGGAGAACAAGCTAAATAGGCTTCGGCGTCCATATGAAACAAACAGACGTTGTAGTGTTAAAATTATGTTATTACCATTAGAGATGTGGGCCCAGGGGAGCTTCTTTCTTCCATCTCAGTTGCATAGTCATGACAGCCTGTTTCCTACGGGTAAGGTGAGGAAATTTTAAGAGCCTGTGTTATTAAAATATTCAAGACAATATAGGTACTTTAATTTAAAAATAACAATCGTATTATGTCAATCGTATTAAAAAGAATCCTAATTTTTTTTAACTAAAAATAAAGTAAAAAAAAATTATATAATAGAATACTTCTGTTTTAATCATTTTACAGCAACTAAATAATCTACCCGAACATTTTTAAATTCACTCATAAATAATAATGGTGCCATCGAAATAATACCCCCACGTAAATATCCCGTTGAATATTTTCTCGGTTTCATTTCAATTCTTTTCGGATAATTATTTATCAAATTAAATTCTCCTCTGCTTCTCAAACATCTTCTTAGTCTCTATCAGTTAATGCATTAAATGTAACGATCATCTTCATTTTAATGATTACGGAAATCGGAGAAGCTTCCTCTAGGCAATTAAGAACGAAATTCCATTCAAATTGCATATTTCATTCCATAATGATACACTCGTCTGATGGGTTCGAGGGTACAACAAAAGAGGTTTAATTGCTTCACAAAAATAGAAGTTTTGTTGAAGATGTTTCTTACGTTTCTCTGCAGCGTATTCATTTTTATCTCTGGAGTTTGCAATTTTTGCATCAGGATTTAAAGAGTGTGATTTCTATTTTCTGATCTTTACTCTTGCTAATTGAATAGCGAAACAGGCAGGATTGTAATACATTTATAAAGAAATTAGCTTCTTCTATGTTTTTTTTTCATATGTCTCTTTAAAATTTATTTAATAGCTAAATATTGGATTCTTTTAAGAAATATGCTTTTCACAAATTCTCTCTCTTCTAAATTCTCCTCTGAGATCTATTGTTAAGAGGACATGGTTCACGAAATTGCTTAATTTAATAATTTTTATAATTTATTTTGCTGCCTCCTATGAGTATGTATTATGTGAAACAGATTTTGTGTGCTCAAAATTTCATAAAAAGCTAAAGGTTTTATTTTTAAAGCGAAAAACTTAAAACTCTTATGAAACGTCTTAAAAATGCTACTCCTACAAAAATTGGCGTACATATATAGAATTTGATTTACTAGTGCATCAAGTTATTTATAACAAATTTGATATGGGTTTTGCAATAACATGGTTGGTATTCGGAGAAAACTTCTATTTATGAGAATGCTTCTTTAAAATTACTTAAAAAATGCGTAAACTCTAACTCCAATTATTTAAAAAAAAAGTATTGCTTTGATTCAAAAATACATACCAACTTTTGTCCCATGTACTGTAAGCAACATGTGAACAAAATTTTCAAGTATTAAGCACAGTAGAAAAAAAAATAGCTTTAGCATTTTAAATGAAGGTAAATTTATTATTTTATCATTCTGAGAGATATAAATACATTTAATGTTTTGATTTGCCATTGGAATGTGAATAAAAACAAACGTAAAAGTTATCATAACTGCATTTTTTAAAATTAGAGCTTTCAAACATTGTAAATTTGTAGAAAAGTATATAAATAATAATTTAGACTAAAAAAAAATAGGTTTGATTTTTTGACCGATTTTTATCAATTGAATCGTACTGTGTCCTCTTAAACTACTTATTACTTATTAGCTCTATTATCAATTTTTTCATTAAATGAAAGAAAATTAGAAATAAGTAAGCAGCGATATCCATTACAATGAGTGTCAAATATATAACAAAAACAATTACTATAAAAAATAATTTAAAATCAATTCCAACTTCGTTAGAAAAACTTTCTGGCGCCATCTGTTGCAGCAAATCGTAACTTCAACAGAAATAACGCAAAATAAATTTAAAATTAAAAAATAAATTTTCTTTAATGAATTAGAATTTGAAACAATGTATTAACATCAAGTGTCATCCACTACAAGTTTTAAAAATGTATTTGAACTTGAATGGATGAATAGAAAATATTTTCTTAACGATTGAAAATTACAACAAGATATATATATATATAGGGAAAGAGTGATCTAGAAGTAGGAATCAAATAACGCTAGATTGTGCCATATTTTGTGATTAAATATTTATTTAAAAAAAAGTTATTTTTATAGATTATAAAAAAAAACTAAAAAAGTTGAGTAAGAAATTTGTTCTAGAGAAAAATTATTTTTATCTATGTGGTGAAGAAAGTAAATGAGTGTTTTTTTTTAATGTCGCAGTTTTAACCAACAGGCGGGTGATTGGCGACGTCCCTCTTAATTTTGAACCTATATCAAGTGGCGAAGGGGGCACCTGAGCTGGCAATCCTCCCTCCTAACTTCCATACCACGCCACTATGATGTCTGAGACATAGCAGACTTAACGTGCATCTGCTCCTCTGCACTATGAGTCATGTCTGGCTTTAGGACATAAGCCCGCAACTTGACAACTCCAGCGACTTGCTGTGCCCGCGTTAGCCGAGTGGTATAGGTATCGGATCGTGGCTTGCTTTGTCACGAATTCGAGCTCAATACCACTAAAGACCCACCGTGTAGGGCAGCGATGCACGTTAAATCTGTCGAGAGCTCAAACGCCCTACCGTTGCTGTGGTGTGGTAGTTAGGAGAGGGTGGTGCCAGCTCAGGTGTCGTACACGTCACTTGACCAAGGTTCAAAATTACGTGGTCCGTCGCCAAAAGTCCTCGTGTAGCTAAATAGTGGGACGTTAATATTCAATCAATCAATCAACCAGCCACTTGCTAGGCTAGTGCGATTAGGCATTCGAAAGGAGTATAATCTTAATATAATCTTTAATTCTGTATTTCGAATATAACATTTAATACTTTTTGACTTCCATTTTTATAAAACATCATATGAAAAATTAGAAAACTTTGAAAATTATCCATAAAAAAAAGGTTAAAAAAATTAAGTCATTTCTTACTTAGGTCAACAAAGAAAAATTTTGTTTTAGTTATTTTTTATCAAATACACTCAGGAACATTGAAAATAACGACCCAAGAAGAAAGCGTCGGATTGAAATGAAATTTAATACACATGATGACACAGATTAGAGATTAACTTGATCTCAAAAACAAGACAATTAAACGAATACAGGGCGTGCAATGACACAAATACTAGGCAGCTTCAATAGCGCGTTGGACCACATCCAGCTGCAATACATGCTGCCACACTAAAAAACTATATAAAATTGTTTTAAGAATATTATATATATATATATATATATATATATATATAATAAGAAATTATTTAAGTGCAGTATTTTGACAATAAATGAATATAGGACGACAAATTTTCAAAACGTTCTCATTTTATGAAAAATGCTTCTATTATAATAATGTTTTGCATGTACATAGTCTTAACTAGATATTTTTATATTATATTACTTTGAAATGGATTTATCTATATTTTATTGCAACAGAGGGATATTTTTTAAAAAAAAAACGCCGATAATTATATCAATTGGTGGTAACTCTGAAAATAATGTGAATTTTTCAAAAAATCCTAGTTCAGACTCTCTGGAGATATCTTTACTTTATATAAGGAAAATATTATTATTATAGAAGCAATTTTTATAAAAGACGAACGTTTTGAAAAAAAGGGCTTTTCTAAGTTAAATTTTTACCAAAATATTGTATTTAAATGTTTTCTTTTTGTCATAATGTCCTTAAAACAATTTTATGCATGTATTCTAATCTAAGTGACACTAAATATCATCATAATTATCCATTGATGATCTTTCTTAAAATCACGGTTCTGAACGTTTTCGAATACTTTAATATAAATATGCATATTCATATGACAGTATTAATTGGCAAAACAGAAGATTTTCCTTTATTATATATGGTGTAGGACTATTCCTTCTGTTTTTTACTATTTACTGATTCATAAATCACATTCTCAGGTATTAGGGCATCCCAGGTAGGAATTCGAACCCACAACATTTGGAGTAGAAGTCCAACGCGCTATTCATTGCGCTACAAGAACACAGCGAGTTATTTTCCCTTTTATATAGGGTGTTCGACTATTATTTTTGTTTGTTACAACTTATTCTCATTTATTAATCTGAATTAATAAATTGACAATTGAAAAAACTGTATTAACACCAAGTTTCATCTACTACAAGTTAAAAAGAAAAATGTATTTCATCTTGAGTGGATGAATAAAATGTTTTTTATTAACGATTGAAAATTGGAACAATATATATATATATATATATGTGAGGCACTGGTCAGGAATGGCACTTCGTTTATGATTAAATATAGATTTAATTACTCGTACTTATTTACATGCTATATATACAATACGGATAACTAAGCATTTCATCATTAACACGCGAAGTGTTATCGTCTTCGTCTTTAACATCTTAATCCATGCAAATGTTGTCTTTGCTTTCCGTCTTTCTCAGTCCGTCATCTCGTCCATGCCAACGTCTTCCTTCAATGGCGTCGTACCACGTTCTAATTGCGTCGGCTCCCGCCACGTCGAGCGTCTAACAACTGGCAGGCTCCCAAAACACTCAGTTCGTTCGTCAGCATGAGGAGTAGAATAATTGGAGTGGCTTAGAAATAGCAGCCGGCACCACATATATACATATATGTGTGTGTCACCTTGTTCCAATTTTCCATGATATTATATATATATCATGTTCTAAGTCTTCCAAGGTTTTTAAAAACAGTTTTTTTCAGCGAGAAATCTATACGTTGGTTGCTGAGAGAAAAAGGGAGTCAAAGTGAAAGTCTGAGTGGCTTTACCACTTATGCCCAAATGTGTTACGTATATTTATGATTTGTACTTGAAAGTTAAAGTTGATATATGGGGCTATAAAAATTAAGGATCTAGAATTAGAAGTGTTTTGTGTTTGGGCCTTCTGTTCGGAGATATAATTGGGTGTTTAATTTAAGACTTGAAGATGTCATGGAAAATAAAAGTTAAGTGTTACATAAAGAATTTAATTTTAAATCTAATTTAATTATCCTTATATATATATATATATATATATATATATATATATATATATATATATATATATATATATATATATATATATATATACATAGGAGGAGGGTGAACTAATAGTAGGAAATGAAATGATGTACTGTTTTAAAAAGGATTCCTATAAAATTTTCAGATTACGAGCGAAAATCGCAAACATAAATTTGAAGGGACATATAATATAGAAATAACTAAATACTATTAAAGTATTGCGAAGTGGTCGAGTCAAACACGAGATGATGTCCTTAGAAAACGCAATTTCAACTCAATATGCAAACAAAATGTACAGAAAACTTTGAGAGAAATACAAATAGATACCAGAATAAACTTCGTAAAAACAACGCATGAGGAAACAATGTGGTAACAAAAGAATGCTCATAAAACTTGGAGTTCTGACTCCGAAATCAAATATCTTTGGAGCGGAAATCCAATACAGCTGAGGGTTCTTCCGCCTTAAAAAGAAAAGAGAAGTATATGGGACAGCTTATGGGATGCACATCGACAGAGAACTGAAATATGCGCTCAAATGCTCCTGATTCTGTGCTTTTATTTCGTATTCACATCACGAGAATTGCAAATGCGAAATTGCCGAGATCACTTCTACATCATGATTGTTTCACCGCAAAATTTAATACTTTGAACTGTCTGAGAATATCTCTAAATACTCAACATTAATCGACATGTAATTAAAGAAAATGATAACCCTGACAATTGATTTTGCATGTTTCAAGAAATTCTTAATGTATGTTTGTGTTGTTTGTTCTTTGATATTTGTTTTGATAATGTGAAATAGTAGAAATAAAAAACTTTATATACTAAGCACTAGAGGGGTGTTAGCCCCTTTTTGCCTAATGGCCGTCCAACTCCCATTGCGCAAACTATACAACTATTCATAACAGTGGCGCATACAAGGGGGGTTCGAGTCCGGACTCCTCCCCAAAGCCCTTGATTTTTTTTACGATTGCTTTTAATTCTATGTATAAAGTACGAAAAATTTAATTAATTATTTTTTATTAATAAATAAATTTATTAATAAATGCTAATTATTTATTCAAAAATTAAATTTTTAATGTTTCTAGTTACCGAAAATCGACAAATCAAAACAATTTTTGGGCAGCGTATTAAAGCATGGTACAAAAGGGTAGACTTTCGACCTGCCCCCCTTCTCCCCTTGAAAAATTCTTGTACCCGCCACTAATTCATACTTATTGCTGAAATTGTAAAACTGTAATTGGCATGTATTTTGTAGCTCTATTTTTTTCAATATATTGTAGGCAGGAAAAAATAACAAGTTTTAAATCTTCATACCCATGTTTTGTGCAAATAATGTTTTGTCTTCTTGTGTAATTATTGTTCTATTGTAAAATAATGTAAATAATTTTTTGTGTATATTATTATTTTCTTTCATCTCCAGCGCTAAACAAAAATAATTTCCATTTATTTATTTACGAAATCATACCTCGACTTACGCGGTTATCGCTCAGATTTCCAAATCTCGTCGATTTTGCTTTCGTTTGAACGCTACACAACTCGATTACTCACTCGTTGCTTCCTGTACAGCTATATTTATATTTTCCAACGTGTCGCACTGAATCGACGCTTAACTAAACTGACTTATTTTATATGTTCTTTCTTTCTTTTCTTCTGTTCTTTCTTTCTTTTCTTCTGTTATTTCTTTCTTTCTTTCTTATTCCTTCTGTGTGTTTGTTATTACATGTTATAAGTGTTAACTGTTATAACTATTGTATTCAAAATTTAATCCGTTTTTTTAAACTTGTAAAACAGCATTTCTGACGAAAGAGTGCATTTTAGACATTCTTTGTTGTTTGAGTTCCAAAAACTCGATGGAGGCAAAAAGGAAACTCGTGTGACGTGTTTGGAGAATAAGCAGAAACAGCTCGAACATATCAAACATGGCTTGAGAAATTTTGCTTATGTAATATTTCTTTGAAAGATGAATCAAGTCAGAAAGACCATCAGATGTCAGTCACGAAGTGCTATGCAAAATGATCAGATCAAACCCCACGTTAATTTCCATGGAAATGAGCTCCAAGCTTCGAATTCAACACACTATTGCTCTGGATTACATTAAACGGCTTGGTTTCGTGTATAAACTATCTATTTGGCTGCAGCACGGATTAAGCGAAAAAAAAATAATGGGCAAAATTCGATACGATCTTCAAATCTTGCTCATCACAAAAGGGAGCATTTTTTGACAATCTGGTGACTGGAAATGAAAAGTGGATAATGTATAAATACGTGGTTAGAAAATATAAGCTGTGACGGGCTCAGGCGTCTTTTCTTTAACATGTCCTTTGGGTTCTTTGGGGCCAGAATTAATAGCAACTCATTTCCAACCAAATCCAAGAAGTGAAGCGTGAAAGAAAGATTCAAACTAGGAAACTTTTAAATATCAGAAGTTAGAGTAAACGGGATGGCAATTTGAGGAATGCAAACATAATACATGGTTCAAGCGTGAAGAAGTTTTGGAAAACTTTACGTGGCAACGAACAGAAACCATACGTGACAGAGTTCCATTGACTCGACCATTGCACTCGAGTAATTACAAGGTTTCATCTAAGATTGTTGTGATCGTTACTTCAAACTACAGTAAGGTAGGATTGACTATTTAATATTAGGATCCGTGATAGTATTGGAATTAAATTTAGGCGAATCAGTTATTGATAGTGGTTCGGGTTAGGTTAATTCGGTATTATATAAATTGTGTGTTTTGCCATCGTAGAGATTCTCTCACATATATTATTACAATCTAATTTGTTTAAGGATTAAGTTAAATATCTTAATAAAGTACAATGCATGCAAATAATACAATGCAAATAATATAATAATAATGCATGCAAATAATACAATGCATGCTTCTAATTCTTCCGTTAATCCTACACCTCTAGCTCACGCTGATAATCAAAGAGATGTTCATCCGAGAGGGAGGGGATATCACATAGCTTACGTTTGCAGAGGGGAGACACCACCACCACAACCAAAGCTGGCGTTTATCAATATAAGGTTGTGTTGTTGGTAAGACTACGAGGAAGCTGTGCCTTATGATTTACTGAAAGGAAATGAAATGGTCGCTTCTGTTCGCATCTTGAATTTTGGAATAAAGAATTCAACATAAATGTCCATTTTCGACCATTAGAAAGGGTGTGACATCAAGACAGCACTAGGCTGCACGTGACAAAAAATACCGCATAAAAAATTTCAGAGTTGGGCTAAGAAATTTTACCTTAGCCAGCTAAAACTCTTTATGTAGCACCATAATACTATCATCTGTTCAGGTCTCTGAAAAACTTTCTCGACGGAAAGGAATACATAAGGCATGAGGGTATTCAAAAGGCAGTTGATGAATACTTTGTCTCCAAAACAGATAACTTCTTTTTCAGGAGGTTAAGTAAGCTGCCAGAACGCTGGTAGATAGTTGTAACTAACAAGAAACATTATATTTTGGATTAAATTTTAAATAAAATGTGCAGAAAAACTTTTTTCTTGAGGAAAATTACAGAATTTTCCTTTACTCCTAATACATTAGATTATACTATTCGAAAAATAAAATCATTCATTTTTTTCCCTTCATTTAAATTATATCATGTCTAAAGAGGTAACTTTCACATATAAAACGCGCTTCTTAAAATTCTTATTTCAATTATAGCAATTAATTTTTTCAGTCAGCTCCTACGTTTCAACAGCGTATGCTAGAACAAGCCAAAAGAATAATATTCTTCTTCCTTTATAAGAATTCCCTCAGAAAATATATATTGGAAAGTGAGACGCATAAGATAGAGTAAATTATACTCTGAAGGAAGAAAGAGTATTAGTCTTATAAGTTCCAATAGTAAAAAGGCAAGTTAATGGAGAAGATAGTAATGAGACCAGACAAAGGTGTCTAAACTAATGAGAGAAACGAGAATTAAAGTGAGATTCTGTGTTTTACATAAAAATAAGAACATTTCTGTGTTGAAGAACAGAAGAGACAA